CTCCATCTCGGGGACACGGGAGCCGCAGGCACTGGCGTGCTTATACAGAGGTTCTGAAGACATGTGGTGACCCTGCAGGATCTCAACAAGACCCTGAAAGAGAGGACGGGGGCTCTGTGGCATGATCACCTGCTGGAAGAGCTTGTACATCAGTGCACTTCAATTTGTGCCACAATCCGTGAGGTCTGTGGCTTGCCTGCTCCTGTCCCTGGTACCGCTCCTCCAGCACGCCATGACCCTGCCCCACCAAACCCCCCTTCCCTACCACCACCCCTTCTCCCCTTGCACCTCTCTCTCCCCCAGCCCCCACTGTCCCTCGGCCCTCCTCTCCCCCAGCTCTCCCAGACCCAAGTGTGCCTCCCCTCTCCTGTCCAGCACTCTGTCAGTCGCCCCACCCGACACAGAGGCCATGGTGGTCCCCGCACATGAGGCGGCAGGAGATTGCGAGCAGGGAAGCACCATCCCACCTGAACCCCCTCCCCCCTCCAGGTTTTAAGCACCCCCACCACCCCAGTTACAGACAATGTTGGTTACTTAAGAAAATGTTTATTTTTGAATCAGAAACTGCTTTGAGAGAAAACTATGTACAATGAACAAAAGATTTTATTTCTAGATACTTTCAGTTAATGATATTGATAACAATAAAACAGAACTTATTCTTTTCAAACAAAACCTGGTGTTCATTATTTCTAGAAAGAGAGTCAGGGTGAGGGTTATGGAGGGAAAGTTGTATTGGGCCAGGGCCAAGCCCCCATAGAGGAGAGCCTCGGGAGACTCAGTGGGCTCCTTCAGAGAATCGCTCCCTAAGGGCCTCCCGGATGCGAAGTCCAGACTGGTGAGCTTGGTGGATGGCAGCTGTCTGGGGCTGCTCAAATTGCCTCTCTGTGCCATCAGCACCTGTACCCCACCCTGGGAGGAAGGCCTCCCCTTTTCTCTCCTCAAGGCTATGGAGAACGCAACACGCGGCCACCACCTCAGGGATGTTGCGTTCCCCCATGTCTATCCGTGTGAGCAAGCAACGGAATCTCCCTTTTAAAAGTCTGAATGCACATTCCACCTGGATGCGAGCTTGGCTAAAATGAGCATTAATGGCTCCTTCAGAGAATCGCTCCCTAAGGGCCTCCCGGATGCGAAGTCCAGACTGGTGAGCCTGGCAGATGGCAGCTGTCTGGGGCTGCTCAAATTGCCTCTCCATGCCATCAGCACCTGTACCCCACCCTGGGAGGAAGGCCTCCCCTTTTCTCTCCACAAGGCCACCACCTCAGGGATGTTGCGTTCCCCCATGTCTATCCGTGTGAGCAAGCAACGGAATCTCCCTTTTAAACGTCTGAATGCACATTCCACCTGGATGCGAGCTTGGCTAAAATGAGCATTAATCTGCTCCTTGCTTGCATCCAGGTGGCTGGTATAGGGCTTCATCAGACACGGCATCAGGGGGTAGGTGGCATCAGCTACAATGCACACCGGCATGTGCACGTCCCCAAGGGAAAAGTCCCGATGCGGGAAAAATGATCCCGCCTGCAGCCTCCAGTAGAGGTTGGAGTTCCTGAAGATGCAGGCATCATGTGCCCGCCCTGACCACCCAACACAAATGTCGGTAAACTGTCTCCGGTGGTCAACCAGAGCCTTGAACACCATTGAAAAGTAGCCTTTCCTATTAAAGAATTGGGCTGCTCGATGGGGTAGTGCACAACGTCCCCAAGGGCAACGTCCTAATACGGGAAAAATGTTCCTGCCTGCAGCCTCTGGTAGAGGTAGGAGTTCCTGAAGATGTGGGCATCATGGGCCCATCCCGACCACTCAACACAAATGTCAGTAAACTGTCCCAAGTGGTCGACCAGGGCCAGGAGCACCACTGAAACGTAGCCCTTCCTATTAATGAATTGGGCTGCTCAATGGGGCGGTGCACAGATTGGGATCTGTATCCCATCGAGCCCTCCTCCACAGTTCGGGAAGCCAAGGGCAGCGAATGGTGTCCAGGTCTCCCAGATGGACGAGCCTGTTCTGCAGCTTGGAATTCATAGCCCTCACCACCTGGAGAGAGAGACAAATAGACAGACAAAAAAAAATGTTAGCCTGAGCCCTTGGGAGGAGAACACCCTCAACTTTCCACCCCAAACACCCCAGGAATCCCCTCCTCAGGACTACACCCCCCCAGAGCAGCACAGGGTGAGTGTAGGAGCTCCCTCCCACTCTCACTCCACCCCATCTCCCACTCCTCCTTGTCCTTTCCTGACAGTCTCCCTTTTTCAACCCTCCAGCAGTGACTGTCCCCCTAGAATGATGTACCTCCATCAAGACAGCCCCGAGAGTAGACCTACTTATGCCAAACTGGTGTCCCACGGAGCGATAGCTGTCAGGCGTTGTGACCTTCCAGAGGGCAATAGCAACCCTTTTTTCCAGGGGGATGGTGGGGCGCAGGTCTGTGTCCTGTCATTGGAGAGCAGGGGCGAGCCCGGCACACAGCTCCTGGAACGTGGCCTTCCACATCCAGAAGTTGCGGAGTTACTGCTGGTCGTCCCACAACTCCATAGCGAGCCGGTCCCACCATTCGGAGCTGGTGTCAAGCCTCCAAAAACGCCTTTCCAGGAAGAAGTTTGGAGGCAAGGGCATTGGTCCTGCATCCCGGGCAAAGCTTTCAAATCTCTGGTCTGGGTCCAGATGGGGAAGGAGCATCATGACTGCATCCTGCAGATGCAGCAGAACTTGCAGAATGATGGTGTGGGGCCATCGCCTGCCCAGGGGCAGCTGACAAAAAAAAAGGGATCAAAATGAGGAAAACCTCCAAAAAAACCCCAAACTGCTGTTGTGTCCCAGGAAGCAGGGCACTCACAGCAAGCACTGCAAAACCTTTGCTGACCCTCTAGGAGGTAAGAAAGGCAGCTGAAGGAGCAGAGCAATGGCTGTTCAATGCTCCCTTTAAGCACGCGTCTCTGCAAAGGGCAGGCAGCAGCACCAAGAAGTAAATGCTGTTCCCATGCCCTCCCAGAAGTGGTTCCAGGTGCCTTCTTTTGTTGACAGAGTGTCCACCAGTCTGGATGCTCTTTGTTGACAAAGAAAATCGATTTTTCGATCTGCGTAATGCAGTCTAGACACTCTTTGTCGACAAAGCCTCTGTCGACAAAAGCCTGTAGTCTAGATGTACCCTTTCATGGGAATACTTTAGATAGATAGATAGTTTTTTACTTACCTCGTTATGTTAAGTTGGCTCTTATGGAAATGTTAACAGTGAGAGAAAATCTTGAAATAAATGCCTGTTATGCTGCAGTACTAAAGTTGGACATATGTAAATATTATGCAAACTACATAACTTTCAAGTGTCCAGAAACGTGGCTGTTACCATACAGGAAAATAAACTTTCCAGCCTCCCCTGAAAAAGCAAAATATAATTTACTCTCAAATCAACATTTCAGGGCCCTAATCCTGCCAGGGGTAAGCATACTTGAGCACTTGTAAGAGATGCCCAACACACCACAAAGTTGGGCTATTATAGAGCTTTAGGGCCTAATCCAAAACCCATTGAAGTCAGTTGGAGTCTTTCCATTTGTTGTCTCTGTGAGGTTTGGGTTAGATCAGGGGTGGGCAAAGGACCTCTGTGAGCTGGATCCAGTCCCCCAGGTGGGTTGATCTGGCCCACAGAGGTCCTGCTGCTCCCCTGCCCCCAGGCTAATCAGGGCCTAGGGATGGGGTTATGCACGGTGCTTAGAGTCAACCCTAGTGCCATGTGCCGGAGGGCAGGGAACAAGAGACTTCACTCTCCCCTACCCCAGGCCAATCAGGGCTTGGGGGTGGGGGAAAGTGCACAAAATCAACTCCCACTCTGCTTCTGCCCTGCAAGGAGTACGTGGTGCTTAGAAGCGCCGTGCGCTCCTTGCAAGATGGAGGCAGAGCAGGAGGAGACTTCGCGTGCTCCCCTCACTTCCAAACCCTGATTGGCCTGGGAGTGGGAGGAGTGCATGAAGTCTCCCCCCACCCGCAGTCAACTGCCAGTTGCTGCTCAGGTGGTGGGTGACTCTTAAGCATGGCGCTCCCTTGCAGGGCGGGGGCAGACTTCGCATGCGGCCCCCTACCCCCGGGCACTGATCGAACTGGAGGCGGAGCACATGAAATCGCCTCCTGCCACCAGGGGCTCAGGCACCTAGAGTGAACTGCCAGCAGTTCAGAACAGCTGGCAGTTCTCTGTAGGGAGTGCAGGGGCTCCCCCACAAACCTAGACCAATCAGGGTCTGTGGTGAGGAAGCTCAAAGGTGTCCTGGTCCACCACTGGGTTATATCTGACAGTCACTTAGGGCTTATTTACAGCTGAAATTCAACAGCAGCACAGCTGCAATCTAACAACTGAGACACTGTCTACACTAACTGGACAGTGTCCGTGTAAGCAAATCCACTTCCCCTAAAGGTGGTAGCTAGGTCAATGAAAATGTTCTTCTGGCAACTTAGCGCAGTCTTTGTTCGTAGTGAGTTTGACCTGGCTCCATTGCTCAGGGGTATGGATTTTTCACATCCCTGACCAACATAGATCCCTGGATTGACCTAACTTTTTAGTGTAGGTCTGTTCTAACTCTCCCTATCACCATCCTTTTGCTTTCCTTTGTCACACTCCCTTCTAATCCCCTCAAAATAAGGAGAGATACTTCTGCAATAGTAGTGCTTTTAGGAAAGATTGAAAATGAATGCACAGTGGGTCTGCCATCTCTGAGAGAACATTTACATTGGGTGATAAACTTAAAACCGCTTTGATGTAACTTCATATAGTATATGTTAACCCATAAGGCATAGGACTCAACAATTTGCCTGCAGCTATTTTTGCTGACAATAAAGGGAGCATTGTAGTCTAAATCTCTCACAATTGCTTTTTTAGTAGAAATTGTCAAATGTTCATTGGACAATGATCTTACACCGTTCTCTTATTTGCTTACTTTGACTAGACTTTTGCTTTGTCTCTTGTGTTTGTTTCCAATGTACACCCACCTTTTAAAGTCTGAATTTGTTTGTTATAGGGATCACGGGTCTGGTTACGAGAAAATGGTCAGCGTTATCCAAGCACAGTACATTCCTGTGCAGAGGGAGTTGTTGTATTCAGAACAGATTATGGTCAGGTAAGAAGCAACTTAATCTTTTCTATCACTATTTAGAAAATAAAAGAGAGACCCTAAGTTTAAAAAAATAGATATATAGTGTTAAGATGAATGATAAATAAAATTTGACTTTGGATAATTTGATATAAAAATGTTGCTGTTTTTAATATATCTTCTTGTTGGGTTGTTACACAAAGCTGAAGAAATGTTGTCAACATTTGTGATATTTAGAGCTTGATCTCCTTTGAAAGTTGTCCAGGTCTGTAAGGCTGAGCACCACTCACCTACAGAATGGGAGAGCCTCGTGATTTGAAGATTGTCAAAACAGGTGCAGTAATATCTGTACATTGATACCTCACAGCACAGAATCATCACTGATGCAATGCACACCTCTCAGAGTGGGAACAGGACTTGATGCTATAATTATTGCTTTCTGTGACTCCATTAATATCCTTCCCTTTTTATTTCCAGGGAATGCAGAGAGAATGGGGGCATAAATCCTGTTTTCCTACTCATCCCTGCTATCAGATACATTTCTGGCTGCTTAGAGGGATGGAAATTGATTAGTTTCTCTAATCTATTTGCTAAGGTGACCTTGCCTATGTCTGGTAATGTGAGAGCTCTTCTGATACAAGAACTTTATTGGCTTTGCATGAGACCTTCTAGAATTAGAGGAACTCACTCAAACCCTTGCAGTCAATGTGATCTGCATGCAAAACTTCAGATAGCTGCAAGGAGCGCTAGAATCACAGGTTAACACTCATTGCCGTAATCTGCAGGGGGTAGCCGAGTTAGTCTGTAACAGAAAAAAAAAAGAACAAATGGTCTGGTAGCACGTTATAGACTAATGAAACATGTAGATGGTATCATGAGCTTTCGTGGGCACAGTGTAGTTTACTTCTTCATGCTGAAGTCCACAGATCTGTTAAAATGGATACTTCAGTCTGCCTACAGTATGAGAGCAGAATCAGACCTAGCAGCAGAGGAATGTCTTGCATCTTGAAGTTCCTCCAGGCTTTTTGCTTCCATAGCAGCCAGCTCCGGACCTCAGCCAGGCCTCTTTGCTTCCCAGCTTTTCTGAGGAAATTCCAAACTGTATTTCTATTTTTAGACCAACAGTTCAGCTCTTTATTGTGTCTGACTCTCTGCCATAGGTTAGGGTTGCATAAGAACATAAGAGCGGCTATATTGGGTCAGACCAAAGGTCCATCTAGCCCAGTATCCTGTCTTCTGACAGTGGCCAATGCCAGATGCCCCAAAAGGAAATGAATGAACAGGTTATCCATCCACTGTTGCCTATTCCCAACTTCTGACAAACAGAGGCTAGGGATACCATTCCTACCCATCCTGGCTAATAGCCACTGAGGGACGTAACCTCCATGAATTTATCTATCTAGCTCTTTTGTGAAGCCTGTTAAAGCCCTGGTCTTCATAACATCATCTGGCAAAGAGTTCCACAGATTGAGCCTGCACAATGTGAAGAAAAACCTTCCTTTTATTTTAAAGGTGCTGCCTGTTAATTTCATTTGGTGATCCACTAGTTCTTATGGGAACAAGTAAATAATTTTTCCTTATTCACCCTCTCCATACCTATCATGATTTTATAGACCTCTATCCTATCCTCTCTTAGTCTCCTCTTTTCTAAGATTAAAAGTCCCAGTCTTTTTAATCTCGTCCTGTATCACCCGTTCTAAACCCCTAATAATTTTTGTTGCCCTTTCCTAAACTTTTCCAATGCTAAGATATCTTTTTTGTGACGAGGTAACCATATCTATACACAGTACTCAAGATGTGGACGTACCATGGTTTTATATAGAGGCAATAGATATTCTCTGTCCCTTTTTTAATTATTCCTAATATTCTGCTAGCTTTTTTGACTGCCGCTACATATTGAATGGATATTTCCAGAGAACTATCCACAATGACTCCCAAATTTCTCTCTTAAGTGGTTATAGCTAAATTAGTCTCCATAATTTTGTATTTATAGTTGGGATTATTTTTTCCAATGTGCATTACTTTGCATTTATCAACATTAAAATTGATTTGCCATTTTGTTGCCCAAGCACCTACTTTTATGAAATCCTTTTGAAGCTCTTCACTGTCAGATTTTGCATTTGATTTTTGGGGAGATTGTTCCTTTAGTTCTGCTTCCCCTTTTACAGTGACTGGTGTACTTGCTGGGAGCGAGCTAGGTTGAAAAGGTTTGATTTAAAAGGAATGGCCTGTATTTCCTGTTCCTCTTTTTTCTGGGTGGGCCTCAGTCCTCTCTCTCCCAGCAGAAAAGGAGCCAGGCAGGATTCGACAAGAATTGTTTGTGTGGTAAGTAGTCTTCACATCTCTCTGTGAAGGCAGAAGAGCAGCATACCAAATTTAAGTTTGCTTCTGAATCTCTTTTAGGGTTGTCAGAGTGTAGCTGTTTAAACAGGTAACCAATAAGCAAGAGCTTATTGGTTACCCAAATGGCTACATGTGGCTGCTGGTGCAGCTCCTGGGGAGCTGCCTGCTGCCCTGAACTCCTGCCTCTGTATCAGGCTTCAAAGCTGGCTCCTGGGGAGCTGGCTGCTTCCCTGCATGTAATTGCTGAAGATTTCAGTGGTTACAGGGTTAATCGATTACACACATTTTAACATCCCTAATCCCTTTGTGCCTTTATGCCTCAAACTGAGACCTCCAGGAGAAGCACAGACCCCTATGGCTCATGGGAGAT